CCTCCCACTTCCCCGCCTCCTCTCCACCGCCCAGCGCGGTGGCGGCGCTTTGTGACGCCGGCGCGTGTACCCCACCCTTAAAGGGCCAAGCAGTTGTGGAAGCCGAGGGTGGCCTCAGAGAGTGCCCTTGGCCCCAAAATGACGGTTATGCGGCTTGACGCCCTGGTTCCCAAGGTGCGCCACGGATGAGACCTTTGGTCCTAGAGTCATCAGCTCCCTCCTTCCCCTATGTGTATCTATAGTCCTCAGCCACCCTCCCAAGAGCCGTGGTCCTCTGCAGGCCCCTCCCCGCGACACACAGCACGTTGTCCCTGCACTCGGTAGATGCTTGACAAGGATGTGCTGAGAATGCGGGCCTTATCGGTGGAAACAGGCGTCCCGACAACTTTTCTGCAGGTTCAGCCCTCACGCCAGTGTGTCCTTGGAAGGCAGTATGTCACCCATTTGGGGGGCGGAGGGACAGTTTCTATCCAGAAACGGGGAAGGCAGGCCAGTTTCTACTTCCCTTCTTAACTACAAAGAGGAAGCTGTGGGAAATAGAGAAATAACAATACGGACTGAACCTGGGTTCCTGGCCCTTCTCTCTGTGATTTGAGACAAGTGCTCTGGCTATCCCTCGGTTTCCCCATTTGTAAAATGAAGTACTGTTGGTGAACTTTGACCCCGTTATAGATTCTTTGAGCTTGAAGGTCCAACCTGGAATCGAGGGACTTTTAAGATAATCATGCAGAAGTGAGATGTGGAGGCAGTCTTCAGTCCTCATGATTTAGATAGAATACTCCTTTCTTCCAGAATGGCATGTTCTATAATAACTGACTAAACGTTTCCTAGAAAATCCAAGATACTGTGAAAATTTCACACACTTAAAATTTTAGGATCAAAAAGATCCTTGGTTCCGACCCTGGCTCCACCATTTATATTATATTATTCCTTCTTCATAAGCTTCTGTAAAAGAAGGTAAATTATACCTATCATAAGCAGTTATAAAGATTAAATGAGATCATCTATATACAAGGTTTAACACTGGCACATGGTAAATTATCCATTAATAGGAACTTTAAAGGAAGAAAAAATACTTTAAAGGCAAAGCTGTATTCTGGATACAACCCCCTCCATAATTTAATAGACTTCTTTTCACAATAGTTTTAGACTTATAGAAAAATTGAGAAGATAGTACAGAGAGTTCCCATATTTTCCCATAGGCACCCATTTTCCCCAATTATTAGTATAGTACATACGTTACAATTAATGAACCAATATTTATATATTACTAACTGAAGTCTTTATTCACATTCCCTTAGTTTCCTTTTTCTGTTCTAGGATCCTATCCTGGACACCTCAGTATTTTTAGTTTTCAGGTTTTGTTAGATTCCTCTTGACTCTGAGTTTCTCAGACTTTCCTTGTTTTTGATGACCTTGAAAGTTTTGAAGAGTACTAGTCAAGTATGTTGTATAATGTTCCTCAAGTAGGATTTGAAATGTTTTTCTCATGATTAGAGCAGGGTTATGGGGAGAAGATCACAGGGGTAAAATAACATTTTCATCACATCATATTGAGGGCACATAATATCAACATGACATCAGTGTTGATATTGACTTCAGTCACTTGGCTGAGGTAGTGTTTCAGGTTTCTCCACTGTAAAGTTACTCTTTTTATCTCTTTTCTATGCTGTACTCATCAGAAGGAAGTCTGTGCACAATCCACGCTGAAGGAGCCCCTTTATTGTTGTTGTTTTCTCAGAAATTAGGTCTCAGTATTTTAAAGAAGTCATTCCCTAGCTCCCAATTCTATAGGTCTTGAGGCCATACTCCACTGGACTTAGAGCTCGCTTCAGAGGAGGAGTGTTTCAATCAATGCAGCCCTTGCTCCAAAAATGATGATATATGACTTATTCTGACTTCCTCTCCAGCACTCAATTTAGGGTCAAGAAGATTGCTGACCTGGAAACATGAGAGATGATGTTGACACTTTTAATAACAAGGTTGTGAGTAGACAAATAGAAAATTCATCTTCAAAGCATTTCACCCACATAAATTCGTCACAGCCCCACCCTGACCCAGAAGTTGGTAGATCTTTAGCCTAACCCACTGAAACATACACCTGGCACTCAGACCAGAAGTTGCTTCCTGGGCTCAAATCAATTCACAAACTCATACTAAATATCAACAGTGGCCATGGCCCTGTGCTGGGTGGCTAATTAAACATACACCTGTCTGGGAGGCTGACAGCCAAGTATGTTAATGAGTTGTGTGCTTAAGGTCCTTCATTCTTAGGTCAGAGGAACTAGATAGAATTCCACAGACTTGTCTCATGCCTTTTTATTTTAGCTGGTAAGATATTGTTTATTAGTAGTTTGCAACTGTGTCTTCTACATCCCTGGATCCTCAGTGACAGCACACTGTCTGATATAAAGTAGACACCAAGTAATTGTTCTCATGGGCTGGCAACTAAGGGCAGGAAGACAATCAGTAACAAAACAACAGTCATCACAAATTGAACCACACCCTTCACCTCCATGACTAATAGGAACTCTCAGACACATAGTAGGTGCTCAAGATTATAAAGTCCATAAGGACAACAGGTCTTATTCATAAGCATACACAAACTACTACAATGTTTGGCAAATAGTAGGTACTCAAAATATATTTGTCAAAAGAATGAATGTCAGAAACAGCTTCCTAGAGCTTTCTCATAGTTTCATAATAAGAGATTGACTTGATTGATTGGTGCCCTCTGGTGGTAGAGAAAATAAGGATATTTCTTCTTGGTCTCTATGGCATCACCTGGTACTCTATAACCAGGGCTCTTCTGAAGAATCAGTTACCTTTCTTGCAAAGAGAAAAGATATGGAAATCTTGGCAAAATAAATGAGAGGGAGGGGGTCTTTGCTTTAAAAAAGACAATTCTGACCTTATAGAATGACTTTTTTTTAAGGGACCAACATTTTTTTTATTCTTCATACGTTAACGCATGTTAAGTATTGAATAGTGCTCTTAAGGAGCCATGATCTTCTTTAATAATAATAGTTAACATTTGCTGTGCATCAATATGTAACAGGCTCTTTATACACAGTATCTCATTTAATTTTTACAAAAATCCATGACATAGTGATTACTAGAATATCTATTTTGCTGATTATAATAAACTTAGAGAGGTTAATGTCACTCAGTGAGTAAATGGCAAAACCTGGAGTTGAACCTTGGCCATCCCACTTTAGTGTGGCTGCTCTCAACCATCATACTGTAATATTCCTAGTGTAGTGTGCCCAGCAATGTGTGCATATCACCCCAATTCTATACTGCAATTATTTGTTTACATCTTTCTCCCAGCCTCCAAGGCGCTCTTAAGAAATAGACATTCATTCATTCAACAAATGTTTATTAAGTGCCTACTATGTGACAGGTCCTGTACCAAATGCCAAGGATATAGTAGTGAATGAGACAGAAATGATGGGTCTTGCCCTCATAGAGCTTACATTCTAGTGGCTGAGACAGAAACAGACAAAAACAAGTAATTTGTAGACAAATAATACCATTTCAAGCTTTGGTGAATACTAATGAAGATGATTAAAGGGGGCCTAAGACTGAAAATGTTGGGGTGGTTGCAGTTTTAGCTGGAGGCAAGGCAAGAGCAGAAGAAACCTCTGGGAGTTTATATTTGAATTAATAGAAGGACCAGTCCGTGAAATGTAAGGGCTAGAGCATTATTCTAGGTCTCTGGCTTGTGATCATCATGTCCTATTTATCTCTTTATCCTTGACATTGAACACAGGGCTTGACATTTCTTGTTATCCAATGTGGAATAAATGATTGACTTATCTCTCAGCTTTTTCTTCTTCCTCAGACATTAGTGGTGCTACTTCCTCCTCTCAGTCAATTCAAACTCAGTTCATACTTCAAGTCTTAGCAAAGCCCCATCTCCTCCAAGAAAGCTTCCTTAGCAATCAAAACATTCTTCAGCCATAAAGAAGAAGGAAATCCTGCATTTGTGACAACATAGATGAATACTGAGAGCATTGTGCAAAGTGAAATAAGTCAGATAAAGAAAAATACAAATACTGCATAATCTCACTTATTTGTGGAATCTCAAAAAGCCAAATTCATAGAAATAGAAAGACTGGTAGTTTGCCAGGGGCTGGAGAGAGGGGCAAATTAGATGATATTGGTTAAAGGGTACAAACACAGCACAGCATGGTGGCTATACTTGATATTATATACTTGAAAGTTGCTGAGTAGATTTTTCTTCTTTGGTTCTGTTTTATTGACCTCAGAGTACATTTTGGATACAATTAAAAAAACAAACACAATGGAAACAGAAACTGGATCCAGGATGGGTCCGTAGAAGAATTTCCCCAACCAACATGGATTTATACAAAATGCCAGAAGAAAAAATGAGGCAATCTAGTGCTGAGTCCAGGGGTAGCCAGTTGGCAGAGGAGCAGTCAGTGAAGGGTAAGTGTGGATGCAAACTGCACTGCCATGGGTGTCAGGATTAGTTTTCCATCAACAAGCTCCTGCTCAAGTGTTGACTCTTGCCTGTCCCATTTCTGCATGTGGATAGTTTGCCTCCATCCAGTGTCACAATGGACTTGACCTTCCTGTCATCTGCTGTTGTCTCATCGAACTCCACCCCCAGCTTGAAGCTGACCTCCATATTCTTAAAGATGCTGTGTTTTTATGATGACAGTATCCTCATTTATTTTGATAATTGTGGTAGGCTTGGTCATGTTAGTCACCTGCCTGGTAGCAAAATCCACACC